AGTCTTCTCTATACTTTGCATGAGCCAAGTTGTGGGAAGTACTTTTCAAAAAATGTCTCCGTAACAGCCCTGTGAGTTGGTTGAATTTCTTTTCATTGTAAACTGTGGGTAGTGGAAATCTGGTGATGACCTATGTCTCCTGTTAGTAGCATATCTGCCTGAATGGGGACCTAGCCATCCCTACCATCCTAAGTTGCCTCTGTGCCTGTGGTAGTTTGCCTTGAATATGATTATTCATTCTTTCAATCTTTCAGTCTTCCTTCCCTCCCTCCTTCCATTCCTTCCTTCCTTCCTTCCTTCCTTCTTTCCTTCCTCCCTCCCTCCCTCCCTCCCTCCCTCCCTCTCTCTCTTTTCTTTCTTTCTTTCTTTCTTTCTTTCTTTCTTTCTTTCTTTCTTTCTCTCCTCCTCTCTCTCTCTTCCTTCCTTCCATCCTTCTTTCTTTTTGACACATACACATCTCTCTTATAAAGTATAGAATATATTTGCATACTTATGTGTATATGTATGTAGACACACACACACACACTGATAGTGATTATCTTTGCATGAAGAACTTATGCATGGTTTGCCTGAAAGCTTACGGAGGCTGTTCGCCCCAATAGGAGGGGCATGTACTATGACATCATGGTGTTGGGGAGGGGGTTCTCCATTCCCCTCAATTTCCCACTGCACACAGTTGAACTAACAGAGATGCATATTATGTATAACAAGGTGAATAGAAGCTCCTGACATGACTAGAAAGCACTGCAGATTTGTAGACATTATGTTTTAAAAGAGCAATGAAAAGGTAAAACTCAGACCATCATTATCTCACAAAGTTTGTTTCTCTCATACACAGGCAAGTACTAGTGCCCGTGCCCTTTGCTGTTCAGTTGTTCATGGCACAAGTCTACTTAGAATTCTTGGCTCTACTGACATAAACCTGAAAAAGATATAAATATTACCTCTAAGGAAATACAGTGGGGTGGAAAAGATGGCTCGGTTGGTAAAATGCTTGTATGTAAGACAGAGGACCTGAGTTTATATCCCCAACACCCAGATAAAAATGGGGCCTGGCGACCTGGATCTGTAACCCAGTGTTGTAGGGAAGACAGGTGCATCCCTAGGATGCAGAGGCCAGCCAGTCTTCCCACATGATGAGTTCCAGGTAGAGTGAGAGCCCTGTCTCAAAAAATAAGGGGAGGGAGCTCAAAACTGACACATGGAATGAACATTTGGCCTTCACAGCATACACATGCATGCACACACATGTGCCCACATACATGAACGGACACACATAATTAAGTACATACCAAACACACACACAAAGATTTTCAAAGGGACTGGGGAGATGACTTAGTGGTTAAAGTGCTTTTCTGAGAAGCATGAGTACTGGAGTTTGGGTTTCTAGGGTGCACATAAATGTCAGATGGATGTGGCAGCTTGCTTGTTCGTCCAGCCTTAGAAAGTAGAGATGGAATGCCAGAGCAAGCTGACTAGGAAGACTAGCTATATTGGTGAGTTATGGGTTTGATTGAGAGATACTGCTTTGATGAATAAGATAGAAATTTGATGCAGGATCATTCTCAATATAACCTTGAGCCTCCATATGCATACACATGCATACGTATATAGGCACCCACCCACAAGCACACATGTGCCCACACACAGACATTCATTCATAAATGTATGAGCAAACTGCACATATGCTAAAATGAAATAAAATAAAAATTGCAAAAAGAACATTGCTTATTGGTTTTAAAGAGGAAGAGGGAGAGAGAGAAGCTACATTGGGTGGGAAGGAAGATGGGAAGGATCTGGGAGGAGTAATGGGAAACATTATCAAATTATACAAAAATTAAAAAGAAAGAGAAAAAGAGGAGTTATTTAAGATCCTTCACTAAACTAATTTTATGAATTATCTGTACTTTTGAAGTCGACTGCTTTCAAGTTGTGGTCTTTCAAGTAACTGGAAGGGACCCAGAATAGGTGTGTTTGGATAGATGGGTCCCTAACAAAGTGTATTCAGTTACCATTTCATATTCCAGTCATGCTTTGTTCACTTGCTCCATGCCTTTCCCATCTCCTTAGCACCACAGTTATTTCTGCTTCTGCCCACTCCCCTCTTTGTGCCACGATGCTCAACCACTGAATCAGAATCCTGCCCTCCTTCAAGAGTGGAAAAGCAAGGTTTGGAACAATACCTGAGTAATGCTCTGTCTGGGATGCCAAAATACTTTTAGAACTCTAAATTAGGTGACCTTGCTTCAGAGATGTATTCCATCCAAAACATGGGCTGAAGCTCACACTAGACTTTCCTACCCTCTTCTGCCAGCCCAGTACTTACCAATCCTAAGAAGTAAACTCTGAAGAACAATTTTAAGAAGACTTGAAAGTCTGGTTCTGTAACTTCTGTATTCCTTCGATAGAATGTGAATAAGAATCCGGGGTTGAGTGAAAGTGTGAATGGATCCCCATCAACTTGCATCGTAGTAGACTTCAGTGGTTATCTGTTTTGATAAAAAAGGCATTTTAAAGAATACCCATTTAGCCCTTTCAGGCATAACAGCAAATTCTCCTTCCCCACTATACCAGATTAGTGTATTTTTCTCTTAGCTTTCCTTGGAAAGACTTGTTATCGTAGTGGACTGTGATTTATACAGAGACCTGCAACTAGTCAGCATGAAGAGAGTAAGACACTGTGGCATGCTCAGCTTTAAATGGGGCACCTGTGTCACACCTTCCTTTAAAGCGATCATCATGGAAGAGGGGAAGGAGAGATGGGAGAGCCTGTGGCTGTGGTGTATGCTGGACATGACAGGGCTTATACACGTGAACTCACAGCAGTGAGGACTGCATGCACAAGACCCAGACAAGATCAAACATAGCCAGAATCTCAGTGTGGATAGGAAAGAGACCCATGAAGTCTCACCCTAAATGGAGGCACAACTGAAAATTATTGTCTGCTAGGGGAGGGTGAATCAGTTTTCTTTATGGATGTGTTACCTAAGAGGACACATATGCTCCAGGAGGCTGTCCTATACCAAAGCAGATATGGGCAGTGGACTCTTATTTAACAAAAAACAGAACATATGAACATGTGATGTATATTTAAGAATTTAAGTAAAAATCAGATTTAAAAATACTTATTTTAAAGTCTCAAATAGTATGAATATATATGTGTTATGATAGAATTAAATATTGTTAGAGTTACTTAGAAAATTAGGAAAAGTTTATATGTCAAGCTTAATTAAATAGATCTATAGAATGTCTATAGACAACCTATAGATTGTCTCATAGCATCTTTTGGACCTGCTCTTCTAAACACTGCCCAGATATTAGTGACTATAAAGTAAGAATGGGGAGAATCTAAAGATACTAATATTCTTATTATACTTAAGTATGCAAGCTTTCTATCAACAGGTAAGCCACCCTGGCTCTTTCAAAGGTGCAATGACAGAAATTCCTCTGGAGGGGCGAGCTGCAGCTATATGGCTGTAGCTTCCCGGAGTCCTGACTATATGTTTGGGAGCATGGCTGTAGATGTTGGGAATGGATAGGAGGGAATGCTATTGGTATTCTGAATGTTCAAGGCTAACAAAACAAGGTCCATGTTTAGGTGGATTTGGTATATAAATATGCAAGACATAAGTCTTTTCTGTAGGATTAACCCATTTGCTAAGATTTACATGTAAATTTCATCTTTCAATTACATTAAGGCGGGATGGGTTGTTTTTATGTACAGATGTACTGAGGTAAAAAAGTTTCAGAAACAATTTGAAATCAGTGTGGTTTTTGTCTTGTGCTTAGTCCTTAATCCCTACTTAACTGTTTCTGCATTACCAACAGTTGACAAACAGCTAAACTACAGGAAAGGTAGAACATATAACTGCTTTTGTATTAGTCTAGGATCTCTGGAGGATAGATAGAACTGATAGTATATACATCTATCTTTAGTAGTATATTATATATAGTATATATAATACTGTACATTATATGCTCTATATTAGTATATAGAGTATATACTATGTATAATAAATTCTATTTATATAAATATATAAATTTATATATTATATACATTTATTATAGTCTTCATATATAATCATCTTTATTATATTATATATAAATTTATATGTTTATAGATATAAAACAGATTTATTAGAATGTCTTATAGTCTCTAGTCCATACTCCACTGCTGTTTATCAGTGGAAAGTCCAAGATTCCAATAATTATTCCGTCCACAAGGCTGGATGTCCCAGCTGGTCTTCAGTAGTAAATAACAGAATCCCAGAGAAGTAGGCTCTAATGCTAGTGAAAGATGAGCAAAAGGAAGCAGCCAAAGAGCAAAAGCTTCTTTCATTCTTGTCCTTCATATAGGTTGCCATGAGAAGGTGAGGCCCAGGTTTAAGGTAGATCTTCTGAGGTCAAATGACTGAATTAGCTAAAAATCTCTCACAGATGTGAGATTTAGTTAATTCCAGATGTAGTCAGGTTGACTAGCAACAATAACTATCACAGCCTTTATTGGTAAGGGCTTCCTTAGGTTTCCAAAAGATTGTAAATTTCAGCCCACAAAATCCAGAAAGTCCTTTTAGGAAATCCTAAATCTTAAAGATGTTTTTAAGAATATGGATTTGGGGGCTAGAGAGATGTCCTAGTGGTTAAGAGCACAGTCTGCTCTCTCAGAGGTCCCAAGTTCAATTCCAAGCAACTACTCGGCAACTCACAACTGTCTGTGACTCCAGTCCCAGGGGATCCCTTATACAGACATACATACAGACAAAACACCAATGCACACAAAATCAAAATAAATAATTTTTTAAAAAATAAAATGGGTTTAGAGATGGTGAAAATCATAAAAACTTAGACCTTTATAATTGATGGGGCAAGGGGATTGTCCTAATATTAATGACTCCATCCCCCTGCTTGTTAGAAAAAGTGGTGAGTGGACTTCGTTTCTTGCCTGTTCTTTGTGAATTTCTAAGAAATTTTTTTTGTTTGTTTATGTTTTTGGCACCCAGGAACTAAATAGCTTTAATTACTTGGATCTGTACAGACTTGCTGACCTCTTTCACCTCACTTTGTTGGAGAAGGCAGTGATTGATTTCCTAGTGAAGCATCTCTCAGAGCTCCTGAAGAGCCGCCCAGAGGATGTTCTTAAGCTGCCCTACTGCCTGCTTCAGGAGGTGCTGAAGAGTGACCGCCTGACTTCCCTGAGTGAGGAACAGATCTGGCAGGTAAGGGCTGGGTGCCTGACCTCAGGAAGGTGGGGTATGAGTAGAAAGGGAAGGATCCAGAACAACAACCATTATTTGATGAGGCTTGGCTGTCAGATGTGCTGAAGTCCTGCTTCTTAGGTAGGGAAGTCACTAGCAGGTACCCAGTCTGTAGCCCAGCTTGAGACAAGGCCAGTACTGTGGCTTCCTCAAACCTCCATAAATTACAGAAAGGAAGGAATTTTTTTCTCAAAGACAAAAAAGCATTTCTTAAGCTGCACGTGAGAAGAGTGGATTGTAAAGCAAATGGATTGTAAAGCAATTTTGTACATATTTAAGCCATTGAAACAAAAAGATTCAAGGGTTTGGGGAAAAGCCATCCAGAAATATTTCTTTTAAAAATTATTTTAGTGAAAAAAAAAAAAGAAATAGCTTCCAGTAGCTCAAATAAACTTTTTCATGTGAGTTTTTAACTAATTTGTAGATTACTTAGTAGTTAATAGGTATTAAATTTGGCTAATTTTGATGAAGAAGGACTTGTCCACAGGTCAATGAAATGAAAGTGAACAGGTAAATTAAGAGGTCATAGGTAAACACAAGTGCTCAAACATGGTTGTGCTCTGGAATCTATGAGAGTTTTAAAGTACTTCATTCAAGTCCATTTCTGAAATTCCTACTAAGATCATAGTGTATATGTGCGGAGAATTTAGACTTTTTAAAAGGTGGTTTCTTTTATTTTTGAGATTATAATTACATAATTTCTTCCTTCCTTTTCCTCCTTCCAAACCTTCCCATATATCTCTGTCACATCCAAGGCCTTTTTCTCATTAACTGTTGTTATATAATGTATACATATGTACATATATATTTCTAAATATTATCTGCTCAGTTGATACAATGTTACTTGTATGTCTGTATGTTTTCAGAGCTGAACATTGGGTATTGGATAGCCAACTGGTGTGTTCTTCCCTGGGAAAAACTATATCTCCTGTTCTCAGCATTTCTTAATTGCCAGTAGTTCTTTGTGTAGTGTTGAGGCCTTGCAAGATACCCCCACCATCCACTTGTCGTGGGTATTGTCGCTATCCTTCTTTGGGTGGCCATGGTGGTGAGGCTTTGTGAGTATAGCTCATGACGTTACTAGGAGACATAATTTCACAGCCAACTTCCTGATCCTATTACTCTCAGTCTTTCTGCTTCCTCTTTCAGAAGGTTCCCTGAGCCTTAGATGTGGGAATATTTGGGAGATGTATCCATTGTGACTAGGCTTCTCAACTCTGCATTTTGATTGGTTATGGTTTTCTGTGGTGGTCTCCATCTGTTGTAAAGAGAAGTTTCCTTGGTGAGGGGTAAGGAATACACTTATCTGTATATAAGGATATAAGAAGAACTGTTTAGAATGTAGTTAGAGACTATGTTAGTTTAGGAAAGTAATGGTTGTAGGTTCTCCTCCAGATCCATGGCTTCCCTAGCCTTAGGTAGTTGGCTAGGTTTCTAGTACCAAGCATGATTCCCCTGTTGTTGGATCCTATTCCCTATTCAAGTGGATCTAAGTCCAATCGAAGAGTTCTTGGTTACTCCCAAGGTATGTGTGCCATAACTGCACCCTTAAGGTTAACTTAACAACACTGGTGATTGTGTGATTCATAAGTATCAGAGCTAGGTAGTACTGTTGGTTGCTTTCCTCTTTTGGAAGCTTGTGTGAACTTTCTGGTACCATGAAAGATAGTTCTTAAGTAGGAGGTGTTCATATTAGTGCCCATTCATGGGCCTCTGGTCTTTGTGTTTGAAGTGCGTTGTATCTTTAGCAATAAAAGTATACCTACCACAAATGGGGGACAACCAAGGGCAATAGAAATAGCCTATGAGTTTTAGGAGTCTCTTGGACAATTCTAATCAAAACCTCTAAAGAAGGCTTCTTATGCATGATGTCGGGGTTTGGGTTAGATGATATTTGGCTCTTGGAAAGAACATTGTCAGCCCAGGTAAGAAATCTTCTTTTAAATTATTTATGTATATTTTTATATATTTATGCATAGACTTAGGTATACTATAGGTTTTGTTTTTAAGGCAGACAGCTAACAGTGTGATTCCTTATGACTTTGTCAGACATCTTTACTGTTATTGTAACCCCTCCCTCCTTTGCATTTATCTCCCCTTCCCAATGTCCTCTCCCCTTTTCCTTTTCAAGGATCAGATCACATGAACCCTGATCTATTGTTCTGTCCTCTGCTGCTCTATCCCTTCTCTATTGCTCCCCTAACCCCTTTACTGACAATGGTCACTTTTTACTTTCAGCAACATTTTCTTATTGCAGTAGAAAGAAGCTCAGACCTCAAATGAAAGGAAGTTCTTCCTACACTATAGTGAGAAAACCAAACCTTCCCTCCTTGGTTCATTATGCATTCACCCAAGCTCTGACAAGCCCTCCCTTCTCCCCTTATTGTAGACTCTTTTCACATCCTGTCACTGCTTTGTCTAGGGGACAGAGGATGCTTTTTGTTGGAGAGTTGATTATTCAATTTAAATCCTCTTCTGCGCATCCCTAGTGACTGTCCTTGGATAATGTGCCTGAAGTCTTTGGGATCTAGAGCCCATTTTATCTCTTTTCCCTTTACTGCCTAGCTCATTCTACAGCATATCTACACATCCTTGATATTTGGAATTTCGGGCCTGCAGGATGTTATGAACAATGGCTATCTGCTATAAACTAGGAAAAGTTCGGTGTTCTATTGGCAGATAGGGAGTAAGCACCTGTCTTAACAAATATATTCAGAGAGTTTTTTTACCACTGGTCAAAGTGTCACCTAACACCTGATTCTGCTGATGTATAACGTTTGTGATACCTTCCTTCCTTCTTTGAACGTTTATCGCCACAGTCCTTCTTTTTATTGAATATAGTAAGAGATTAGGGCCAGCAAAGTTGCAGGCATTTGAAATCTATTGGCTTAGCACACAACAGTCAAGATGAATGACTGTTTCCATCTTCTAACAAATAAAATAAAGGCATCAGAACTCGGCTCTAGTTTACAGAACAGAGCCACCCATCAAATCCAAGGATATTGATACCTACCATATCTACTCACTAGTCCACAGTCTTTATTTTAAAAGAAGCTACAAGAGTCTGCTTCATCCTGGGCATTTCTAGGAATGTTTACTATGCTTGCAAGCGCTGTTGAGGATGTGGTTCTGACAGGGATTTCAGTAATCTGCAGCTTTCTCCTATCATATAAACCATCAGAATTTACTATGGCCAGCTCAGAGTATGAAGTAGCCAAATCCCTTCATTAATGGAAAAAGAAACACAATAGATTCTATATGTCATTTTTCTCTAACATGATTGAGATTTGAAGCCACCTGTTCTTGTGACATCTGTCTGTTATTGTCCCATGGTTGTGGGCACTGCCATGGATAGACACAGTAAAGTGCAGATGTCTGACTATCAGGAAAATTTCATTCTGTCTGCTTAGAAACTATCACAATTTCCTTTCTAAAGGCTACTAGTTTTATAAAGTAGAATTTTAGAAACTGGTTTCTGCAGGCAATAAGATAGTTTGTTAGACCTGATCCCCAAAAAGGAATTAAAAGACTTCCATAAATATCAATTTAGGCATTCAGGGGGCAATAAGAAATTGTTTTTCTTTATCTTAGTCAATAAGTAATTCCTTCATACTCAATAGAGAAAAATCAAGTCAGACCAACTATATTGCCTCAAGTATAGTTAAGTTCATCATTTTTTGCTGAGGTTATACTAGTAATGTAATATACCATGGAAGAATCTAATATTCAGCCCAGGGTAAAGATTGGGTCTGCCAGAGGATTAGTGTCAGGGTGCTTTATAGAAGTGAAACTTGACGGACAGGCTGGAGACAGATCTACAGAATCTCATTAAACTGCTGAATTGTTCATTACAGAACGTTCTCACTGTAATAAAGTGCTCATTGACTTTGACAAATCCCCATCCCATGTCTTAAAGAACAGTGAAGAAGAGGCACTGAGAAAGAGAAAGGAAATTGGCACAAAGTAGGGCAGGTAATAGAAACGTGGAAGAAGGGTAGTGCTATTTGATTAATATGTGTACCGTAGCTTAGGTGAAACACAGTCAACACACACAGGTTTACCCAGGTGGCTATTTCACTACGTTGTGATAATGTAATCTGGACAATGCCTTTTTCCATGAAGGTCTAATTTTCCTTATATATCAGTATGGCTCTGAAGCCTGTCATAAGAACCATTAAATTGTTTTTGCTGAACAAACTATTTCTTTCTTTATTTACCTTTTTCTTTTTCTATCCCTCTCCTTGATAAAGTCTGCCACAACCTGCAATGACCGTTTTGTGGAACCATGAGCCTCTTAAATCTCATCATTATACCTTGGTTTTGTTTGTTGTTTGTTTGTTTGTTTATTTATTTAGTTACTTATTTGAGACAGGGGTTATGTATCCCTAGCTTACCTGGAACTCACTAATAGATGAGGCTGTCCTTGATCTCACAGATATCCAATTGCTTCTGCTTACGGAGTACAGAGATTAAAGGTGTACATCACCATACTCAGACAGTTTGACCTTTTAAAAATTTTTCTTTTGCTCAGAATTTTTTAATCTGATCCAGACTGTTGTTCCTTCCTTTGGCCAACTATTGTTGGTCTGTTGGTAACCACATTATGTTTTCAGAGGACGCAGATTTGAACCAGAGTTGTATGTTAAATGTGTTATGACCTAAAAGAACTATAAATACACATCCTTTAAAATTTACCTCAGCATAGCTCAACAACTTGGTTTTATGTTTTAAAGACAATGATTCTCAACTTTCCAATGAAAGTCACCAAATTATTCTCTTCAAAGAAAGAAGAAACACAACCAACAACAACAACAAAAAAAAAAAAAATGAGCAAGCCAGCATGGAGGAACTAAAGGCATGCAGTCTCTCACTGTGTTGCCTGGCAAATTTCTACCAGTTTGATTTTGCTTTCAGGTCAGTGAGAGCTCTTAGCTCTAACTTCAGACTTTGTTTTAGTCGAG